CTTTATTATAATACCCAAGAATTTTCCGAGAATATGTCGTACGTGTATAGTAAAATTACGAATATGAAATTAAACATAAAAATGACTCAAAAATACATTTACATATGATTAGCCTATTCATCACTAACCCCGGTTGAGAAACGCTGCTCTATATATTATGACCTAAATTATATTATTACTATGCAACAAATTTTTAGATGTTGTCAATCTGACCACTAACTTTAATATGCTGGTGCTGAGGTGGTTGTTTGTAGGGTTTGAGGTTTTCACAACAGTGAGTACAAAGAGGGTAGTCTTTTTGGTTGTAGCGCCATGTAGTCTGGTTGAAGTTTACCAACGTTTCAGATGTCCTAGCTGCCTCCACCATCAGGGCGATGTTAGTAACTGAACAAACTGTCTGCCAGTAAGAACAAGTCCCGTTAAAAGAAATATTACCAAAGTTGAAAGGTACAGCCAAGTCTGACACCAGGAATCAGAAAAACCCATTAATTTTAATCTTCGAACACAGCACAAAGGCTGGTAGGATGTCGTCACAACGCGAAATGAGGGAAGCCATCACCATGCTAGTAACACACTCCAAGTTGTTTAAATAACTCGGAAGAAACTGCGGACCTTGCAGAACCTTGATCCGGGAATGTTTTGGCGTAAAGAGCACTATTTTTTTCAGCGGAATTGTTGGCTGAGTCGAGTTCTGCTCTAGCTCAACACGCGGTACTATCACATTTTATAGTTCTGTCAGTATTAAGCTGTGTTACGATCATGCACGCAAAGACGGTCAATGTCTGCCCAACGAAAATAGATGGTTGAATCGCAGACAAAATGAAAGCTCTGGGCAGGGCAAAACTTGTCCAAGGTACTTATCGATAGCTTCCTTATTAGACGAAGACTCGTAAGCGATCGAATAGGTCTTATTTCAAACCTTCGAATAGTTATCTCGGAACAAAGAACCATAACACATTGAAATGAAAGCAACTAAGATAGTAAGCCAAGGCCAAATTAACTCGATCGGTAAGAGACTCAGAACACCGTGAGATGGTGACCCCCAAGATCATCACGATCTGGTAAGCGAAAATTGTTGCACAGCTAAAGAACCTGGCGCAAAAACTGCAGCAATTGATTAACATTCAACCCATTCCCAACCGGAATTCTGCGCAGTTACCTTTCCATCCGGTGCGCTGATTTGTTAAATAATTAACTATCCAGAGTCGGGGGTCCACAGAAACATGATAGGCCATTTGTATGCTACTACAGCGTCTGAAAACCTCGCGAGAGAGCAGGAACAAGTCGAAGACTACCCGAACTGGCAAGAACAGTCAAATAGGCCTCACGGACAACCTGCGATGTTGAAGAGGGAGGAAATACGGTATGTTCCATCACTGGAGGACTATGCACAAACGAAATCAATTTATCCACATCACTAATACACAGGACCCCACAACCACATATCTCGTATGACAGCCAATCTTTCAAAACGAAATTCGGTTTCATTGCACGAATTCTCAAAAACAGAAACTCAACCTGAAGCTACCAACAGCTGCCTCACCTTACAGCACTTATATCCGGCCGAACAAAACACAATGATGCAAATAAGTAGTGTCAGTAACATGAGCTAACCACGCACTACTACAGGAAGTGTGTGCCACCGTGGTACCACTAAACAGTCGACACGTGAATCAGCCCCTGGAACGTAACACAGACAATACCACTGAAAATACTTACCCCGGTGAACAAAGCATCGACGGATCGTCGTTTACCTAGCAAACCAGCAGCTGAAACAGGATTTTGAAAGCACGCGGATATCAAGCCTTATATGTTCAATGATCGGGAACCGAAGCGAGAATCGACCAACCACTCGCTTAGTGCCAGGGAATGCTGTTGATGACGATTGAAGACAAGGGGGGGGGGGGGCGCAAGCGCCGCAAAACCCTATACAGTCGAAGAAATGTAGGCTAGAAAATATCTATTATACCAAGCGAAAGTGAACGCTCGGCACGTAGGACGGCAATCGGAGTTACGACATATGGCACAGAGTTATACAAAACTCTGAATGTTCTTGTAGAAATTATACACAGAAACTGACATTCAACTAGACTGAAGATGGCTCATCGCCCTGATGATGGAGGCAGCAAGAACCTCTGAAACGTCGGTAAACTTGTACCAGACTATATGGTGCAACAACCCAGAAGACGGATATCTTCAAACTCAACGTCGTGGAAACCTCAAATCCTACACAAACTAGACTGTTATTTGTATTACATATAAGCTAATTTGATGTTTGCTTGTTTTATTTACTCATGCTCTGAGAAGATACTTAAAAGGTGCATTGAACGCACCTGCTTCTTATTCGGGAGGCCTTGGGTTTAAGTTTTGGCTTGAAGACCAGTTATCAGGACTTATGTTCGCCATGGTTTTCCTCAGTTCCTCCAAGCAAATTCCATGGTAGTACAGTGTACTAGGCTGTGACCTCCTTCCTTATATTTACCAATTCATTCGTCATTAATCATCTTGTCATATTCAATACAAACTTTAAAATTAGTCTACCTTGCTTATTTCCATTCCAACATATGTGGAATTATTTTCTGAGTTAACAGACAGAAAGAAAGTATTTTACATTCAAAAGAAAATCATTAGAATAATAACAGACACTTAAGGGACAGCCTTATGTAGAATTATTTAAGAAAATTAATATTCTTCCAGTAGCCAGCAAATTCTTGCTTTCATCATCATTTATGGTGGACATGACTGAAAAGTTTAAACACACTCTCGGATATCCACAACATAAATAAACGATACAAACATAACCTTCATGTGCCAAACACTAAACTCATTAAATATAAAAAAGGAGTGAAATTATGATATTCAATAATCTTCTCATCACTATTAAATTCTGAATCATGATATAAAGAAGTTTAAGCCAGCACTAAAGAGTATATCCTGTCTTACTCCTGCTACATAGAAGAGTTTATCTCATCCAAAAATTCTCAGCAGTTATAAATACAAGTAAGCAATAATGGTTACGCTTTCTTGTGTAATTAATATTTGTATTAGAAACAAATTGTATTTGTGCTGACATGTTCTACATCCTTGTCTTAAGCCTATTAAGGATGTATGAAATGAAATAAATTCTATTCTATTCTCCTGTTCTAAGTGATCTTTTTTATTTAAAGACTACATTAAATTTATATAAAACAGACCATGTATTTTTAACATGTTTATGTCATATCTTTATATATTACACAAAGTAAATAAATATGGTATAATGGAGATAAAAGTAGGAAAGGCTGAAAGAGGACGAGGGATTAAGATACAAAATAAAATGTTGCACACTGGATTTCAACTAGCTCTTTACACTAGTAAATTTATATTTAGTTTATATTGGAGTGCAATGTTGCTATTGAATTAAATAACATTGTTATCATTAGTTCCTTTTATACAAAAAATCAAAAAGCAAGCATTACTGCTTCATTAAATAAAAATTCATGTAACAAAAATGAAAAATAATAAACACAGACATGTAATGAAATACTGAAGCTCATAATATTGATCTGTTGTGTGAAGATGGCTAATGATAATTTTGTCATTATATTTAATGCTAACCTCAGAAGACTGAATATCTGACACTAGCAGGTGGAATAGGTCCTCTTCAGAATGTGGGACATTCAGGGAATACTGAAACAAATTTTGCAATACTAAGAATGTAGATGATGCAAAAGCTCAAGGCTGTAATCCAGCTGTTAAGTATACTAGCCACAAAATTTTGTTTTCCCCTCATAAGATTTTAACTGATTGCTCGCATTTTATCGTAATGAACACAAGGTGATCAACCCTGAACACGGAGACGTGTTGGAATGCTAGTATCTACCTAGAAGTTCATTACCATTGTAATGATCATCAAAACCTTCACCCTTCACCTCAAATCTTGCTACAAATGGTAACGATGGAGCCAGTGGACCACCCATAAGACACAATACTACAGAGGTCCTCTTTGCTTTTCACATCACTTACAAAATGCAGCACATTTATATAGTGATTTTCTGTGGCTTGTAAAAAAATGGTAGATTTGCTTATTGACTTGCATTTAGCAAAGGAAGAAAATTATTACATTAAAAAAGATTTTAAATTAGATAAGAAACAATACAAAATTATGATTAAAAGCAATTGTTGTATTGCAGTTATTTATCATGAACAATACTGTAAAAAGTAACATTTAATCCAATTGAAGTGCAATTTGATTAAAAGTCAGAAATTTAAATACAATCAACAACCTGTACACGGGACACTTAAATTTTGCATGATAAAGCTTAAGGGGAAGAAAAACTATAATGTTTTTTTTTCTTTTTTGGTACAAGTCATCAATATATTACATCTAGTCTATCATGACATTTTATACAAGTACTAAAACTGAAAACTTGAGTACCATCTGCTACAGGAAACTACATTCCTTCCTTCCATGCTAATGATTATGCATTACTGTGCATCAATTAAGTGATTTTGAAACATGTTGGGTAACAGTTCTGAAGTCAAGATTAGAAGTGTAAGTATAAACAATAGGTCCGCAGTGGCCGCGCGGTCTGAGGTATGGGCTTTCTGCTGCTTGGTCGCTGGGACCGTGGGTTCGAATCCCACTCAAGCCATGGATGTTTGTCCACGTTTTTCTGTGTTGTGCTGTCCTGTGTACAGGTAGAGGCCTTGCGACGGGCCGATCCCTCATCCAAGGAGTCCTACCGAATGTCTATAGATCAAGCCAACGAAAAGTTGGGACCCGGCAGTACTCTGGCATTTGAAGAACGGGTTGTTCCCAGTATCCAGTATAAACAATCAATTTCTTAGTAAAAACCAGCCTACTGAAAGATTAATGCATACATCTTAAAAATACATAAATATGTCACACACATAAAATTACATTCCAGTCACATAGTTACAAAATAATTATATAAATATTATACTCTTTTATGAAAAACTGAAATTTGATCAATGCAGTTGGAGTTCAAAATAAAAAAACAAAGACAGCAAATGAACTTCTTCAGAGTTGAGGTTTCCACAGTAATAAAATTATGCCATGTAGTCCCACCCTGAAGATGGAGGCAATAATGTTGGTAACCAACCCAAAGACTATGCAGCATCATAACCGAGAAGATCATACTCTAAATTATGTTGTTTGGTATATTAATATGATTTATAATATTACTGGATGTATTATAAATTATTATTGTTGTTGTTATTGTTGCACTTACAAAAGGAAAGTGAGGTGAGGAAGGGAAACAAAAACTTTAGTCTATTCCTAATATAATGAACCAAATATTTACCTGCTTTCCAATAAGCAAAACTGATAATTGCATAAAACCACTGAACTTTTACACAGAACACATTAAAATGAGAAAACAGTTAAAAATTTATCCTCCTACAAAAAAATAAAATAAAACTGCATCTCAATTAATTATAATTAATTTCTAGAAACAAACATATCTTCATGCTGTTCCTTCAATTGTTTGTGACCTGTATTTATAGTGACCAACATATGCATATGCAACCAGTACAACCTGCCTCTTTTGTCTTGAAAATGTAATAAACTTCTAGTTTATCAACCGACAGTTTGGTACTGTACCACTTCATAAGCAATTTGAGACCACTGTGCCATAGGCAGACACTACTTCATCACTTTGCCCAAGTTATCTAGGGCCGCAACTTCTGCATCATTTTCTTATTTTCCTTGTATCTATAAAAGTGACATACTACATATTTTGCAAATTTCTGACAAACAGATGGAACTATTTGATTATTCTCCTGGGTACCAGTGAATAGCAGATATATCTGTTATTATAAATATGAGTTATGCTGTTGATATGTCAATCACACAGTAGGAAAACTGCATTCTCAAGACATGATGAAACAGCCTCCAAGTCTTCCCTTAGCATGCAGGGATGAATATTAAGCAAATAAATTATTTAATGTTATTTTTTAACAAAGAATGTGATTTTTCTTAATTCACCAAAGATAAAATTCAGCATGCAGCTGAAGAAATATTCACGGGGCCAAAACATACTCTCACGACTTCTAAAGACTGATATCAAAATCTTCCACCTCTACATTCGAAACACGTATGGAGTTCTGCATAGTCATGTCACTGGGTGATTCAAGTTCAATGCCTTCTAGTTTGTTTCTCACAACAGACAATTCATTATCAGATTCCTGTCCTCCAACTTTTAAAGATGGATGTCTATTTGTAAGAATTATTTTTGTATACTTGAGGGCTGCTGGTTGATTAGGGAGTGGCTGCTTTTGTGCAGTCAACTTACCAATTGTGTGCAGAATCCTTTGAGTCTTCTGAAGTACTGGTCTGCCACCAACAGTATTTGCTTTCTCCCTAGAATTCCCACTTTTAATCAACACAATATTTTGGGCAGACATGGCAGGTTTCAAAATATTGGACATTTGATCTGTTATGTCATCTTCTAATGGAAACGAGATTGTGTCTCCTGTAGTCAAGACAGAGGAAGGGCTGCCTTCAGCAGTACTTGCATCAATTGGTACAACAATTGGAGTGCTGAGCACTTCAGGCTCTGACTTGCTACCAGTGAAGAGCGAATCATCATCTTTTGCAAAGATAATTGGAAGTTCGAGTATTTTAGCTGGTGTTAAAGTATCATCATCTTCTTCTTCCTCTTCATCCAGTGTGGTTGAAGATGTTTCCAACAGTTTACCTATCTTTGGAGGTTTTGGTCCAGAAATTGTAGAGTCTGGTCTTTTCAGACGTCCAGATGGCACAGTATATGTAGTAAGCTTTGGTCCAGTCATTCTCATTTGCTGCTGTGCCAAAGCCTGTCTAGAAGCAGAAGATACACTCATTTTGGGTATGACAGTGAGAGAACGCTGACCAGCAGGGTTACGCTCACTAGTGGCAGTGGTACCCAAAGGAAGGATTGTAATTGGAGATGGTGCCACACCGGACAGAGGTACCAGTACTGAACTACTACTCGTTGTATGAGGGGACTCTGCTAACATCACCACATTTCCTCCACTTGTTGCTCCCAGCATGCTCTTTCCACTTGCACCAGTTCCTGAGGTCAGTACCGTTAATTTGGACAGATCCAAAGTTCGACCCATGCTTGACAGCACTCTAGTGGATGTCACCACTTGACTCCCACTTGATACAAAGTTCTGGAAATTGTCTTCATTTCCCAACACTGAAACACACATGACAGAAGTATAATTAATTGGTGTGTGTATACATAAACTTTTAGTAACATTAAACAAACACCATATAATGGAGTAAACCTTGTGAAAAGGTAATAGTCACTTAGTTAATCAAGAAATTCACCACCTTTCATGGAACCTGAAAGTTCATTATCACGTTCATGAGAGCTTGTCACTGGATCCTGTCATCTCAAACAGATGTATCCAGTCCACATCTTGGCACCTTATTTCTTTAAGATCTACTTTTATATTATCCTCCCACCTACTCCTGTCTTTTAAGCAATCTCATCCACACAAATTTACTGACCAAATTTTTATGTTTTTATGAGTACCATCTGAAATTGTATAATATTATTGGCATTACTGTACAAAAACTCAGTAAAAGATATTAGTGAATGTTTGCACAACACGCACACACAGAAAACCACTCACCATATGCTGCCAGTGGACCCAATCCCAAGCCATTTAAAATCAGTCAGCACCCTCACAAATTTTTTCTCTATTATCAATTTTATTAATATCTTCCCATCTTTTTCTAATTTATCTAAATGGTCACATTAAAGAGGGTTTCCTAAAAAAATTGCCTAACTTCTATAAGAATATCAGAAGATAATCATTAAGTTTCTCATTATACAAAAAACACCATTCCCAAATTAATTTCTGTTCAGTCTAAACACTTTCCTTAGCACTTTATTTTCAAATACAGCAATGCCCACACCAGCCATGAAGTTCATCTATGCACTGTTTTCCTTTTGTGTTCAGTTTTACCAGCCCTTATTTTCAATTTATGTGCATGTACCAGGACATTTGCTACAAGCAGGGCTTTAATGGTCAGTTAGATCCAGTCCACATCCCATTTATATAAGATTAATTTTCATAGCATCCTCCTATCTGCCTAAGCCTCCCAAGTGGCTTCTCCCTTCAGGTTTTCCAACAGAAATGTTATGTATTAGCCTGTGATATGAGTTGACAGTAGCCATGGTCCCCTAAGCCAATAATTTCTTATACAGCCTTGGTCTTGAGAATGCATTTTACAGAAACATAATCACTGGAGTTGGTGAAGGACTGCATATCTGCAAAATGACTCTTTCATACCTGAATCTGATATGTTATATTCTGAAACATAAGCAAAATAACAGCAGTTCAAAAACTTAATTTATTCCAAACTTCAATTTGAACCTAATACATCTTTGTTAGCCCATTATTATTCTTAAACAATACCCATATAACCTTTATACCAAACAAATGTACACTATATAATAACATATGAATAATTTAAATGTCTTGCAATTTTATAATTCCAAAATATACTTTGTAGAAAGATATAAAACACAAGTGCAGAAATTTTCTTTGGTTTTACCATATACTATTATCATATAAACATTAGCTTTAAATTTACAATTGAACTGCTGAAATAACTACAGATTCTTTAGAAATGTGTAAGTCCATGAAAGGCAGTGAAATTATTTTTTCATTAACAAACATCTTGCAGGTCGATATCAAAAGCTTCTGGTTCATTGGCTAACTAGTCTGATCATCACAGACCAATTTGAAATCCTGAAATATGACTCAGAGGTAATATCACAGGATACATTTTACTGTCTTTGTAAAATAATAGAACAGTCTTAATACTCAAACTCTTGAGGAAATACCACAGAGAACTGACTCTGCTGGTGTTATCATAAAAATATCCATAATGTCCTGCCATATGGAAGAATATCTTAAGTACACTAACAAAAAGATGAATAATTTTGTTTATAACAATACTTACTGCTGTTGCAGTGGTCAAAGTTTTGTACAACAGAAAAATACAATTCAAAATCAACATATATCTTCTTCTGTAACACACATAAGGGCCAAACATGGTTATGTAACAAAGGCTACAATAGATGACAGGGTTTCAGCTCTGCCAGCTTGAGATGAAACATTCACAACAAAAACAATGACATAATGCATCACTACAGAATATACAACTGTATATTCCCCTCTCTCTTTGACTCCACTGCACAAATAAAAAAGATGTAACAAACCAGATTCTTGCATTCCTGACAACTGCAGATGTTTCTACTAATAAAGGAGGAGTTAAAAATTAATCAGGTTGTGCCACCTACCTCATTGGTTGCTAAAAGGTTTTCCATCATGAAGACAGTGCAGTACTCACATTTAAGAGACATGTATGTAGTTCCATTTCCAGGGAGTAAATAATTATGCCACAGATTTCACTGTTCTCAGTTCCTCATTAGTGCCACGATACTACTTAAAATAGGCCACAATGCTTCCTCTGACATGCTTTCAAATCCAGGGTTCATAATCATCCAACAATATATCATGACCTGCTACATACTCATGGCAGCTTATCATAAAAAAATTAACACATCATCTGCAGTGTTGGAACTGAAGTTGCACTAATCATACGAAAATTGTAATTCAAATCTTACATGTATGAGAAGAGATGACAACAAAAATTATCAACTTACCTACTTTCAAACATGTTGAAGATAATTTACAATTGTTTTATGCATGTGTGAAAAACAGCTCCTTACTCTGACAGAAGAGCATAAATTACAAGCTTTTAAAAGGACAGTTGTTTAGCACTACAAAGGGGATGCTCCAATAAAAAATCTGGTCCACATGCCCCATAGGCAATAATGAAAACAGATCTTTCAGTTGTTCTGCATTAAGTAAAGACACATTAGGTTCCCTAGTGAATAATTAATGTTATAAATAACTACTGGCATATCAAACATTCTTATATACCAAAAGCACATAAGCACACAATTTAAAACATTTAAATGCAGTCTGACGTATGAATATAACTCCTCCCTATAGAAGCATGCAATTCTTTTCCATAAGTTTATGTGACTGGAGTAACCTGACACAGTTCTCATCTAAAACCTGAAGTTATAAATTTTAAATACATACTAAAGCACATGCCTAAACATCACCTCCAATGATAAAAAATTTGTGATTAAGATAATGTATCCAAAAAAATATATAAAGCAAGCATTAATTGCAGAATGACTTATTACTATTTCTTCACAGGTTATTATTACTATGATTATTATTGCTGCTGCATGTCACTGTATCATTCCAGTAGACAGAAGACATCCCAGACCGTTCCTAAATGGTTTGTGGCACACACATAATGGGACGTAACACTTAAATCAAATCTTGTATCCAGACAGTTCTACTGCATATAAAAAGATTCATTATCACTCGAGTATTTCTGAGGCACAATATGTTGGAGTATTTGACTGGTGGAACAATTTATTTATTTACAGTTTGTCTAACAATGCTTACAGTAGCTTAGATTATATTGTGACAAAAAAGTATAACAGCAAATAATGAATTGGAAAGGATATGGAAGGACATGGTCATGACCTAATTTAAGGTACAATCACAGCATTTGCCTGAAGGGACAAAGGAAAACCATGGAAAACATTACTCAGGATAACCAATCTCTAGGCTGAGATCTGTACCCAGGGCCTTCTGAATAAAAAGCAGAGGTGCTAATCACTCAACTGCAATGTTTGGTGGGTGGTATAAGAACAAACAAATAAATAAATATACAAACCATGCAGTCTCAGGAAAATGCATGATGTTTTATTTTTATCTGTACAGCTGTTCACCTAACATTCTGTTTAATGCACAAAAAACTTGTACTGCATTATTTGCATCACTTTTAGAAACTTCTTCAACAAGTCTGAAGGTAAAGAATGTTAATAGGAGTCAATAAAATGTACAGCTCTATTAGATGCCGGTAAGGATGCTAGTCTAGAAACAAACACAGAGAAAACTAATTACATGTTCATATCAAACATTTGCATTGCTTACTTCCTTAATGGTGGTAAATCCATAACCTTTGCAACCATGAGACAGTAGTCATGTTCCTCTAAAAGATTAGGCATCAAGTATTAACTGAACACCATCGTGTATCTATCAGATATAATCAAAACTCTCATACCCCAGCATCAGTCTTGAAATATCTTAACAAAATGTTCAAGTCATACCTTGAAGATTTATCAATTTTCTCTATTTCCTGATAATATGTCCTTTGACATCCTACCAGTAACAAACTGGAGATTCCTTATGACCAAAAAAGCCCATCCTCAGCAATGATTACCATTCAGAAATCCAGAGAAAGGAACATCTGGCCAATATACCTAACTTGTATTCTGATAATTCTCTAATGAAGTAATACTGGCATATAATACAATCCACCATTATGCATTTTTCTGGAAAAAATACCTGAACACACAGTGAAATCCTATGAAATTCATGAACCAACTGAAGAACGAGTAACATAGGTGCCCAGATATATTGCGGCCTCAATATCAATTTATAAAATAAAAACAATCTCATTAAGCTCATTCTAATGGGTAATGAATATGAAAGTGGCTGAAATACATTATCTTGAAGTCTGTCTCCTATATGTATAGCACAATTTACAACACCAAGATAATCCACTTTGTTGCCATAATTAGAGCTGATAATTCTTTTAACTTAAAAAAGGTAAGCAAATCACTTAAAAATGTTCACCTCCTGTTCACTAGCCAAGCAATACACTCCACCATAAAATAAGCTACCACACTGTGAAGGAAGTTCAGAGGATATGATGTGATAAACAAACATTTCTCATTGGCTACAATATGTATGGGGCATGCTACTCAGATTATGGAATGCAGACTTTTCTCAATAGAGTAAGGAAAGGCAGAAAGGCACAGAAAATGCATTAAGATTAAATTAAATTTAATTAAAATTGCAACTGTAATTGATGCAAAGTCACAGAAAAAACAGGCACAAGTAGTTAGGAATTGCTTGCTATGATGAAAGTGCTAAAAAAGTCCTCATTTTATGTGACATTCTTCCACATATCTGATGTTACGAAATTTGCAGTGCTAATGACTGATGCACTATAATAAAGTTTTCATTATAGGCCATATTTATTCTACTGTAGTTACAATGTAATAACAATTTTAATAACAACCCTAAAACTAATTCCGTCATTTTGAGTGACCCATTTACCCATCCCAATCAAGACAAATTTCATTCACACATAACCTACTTCCTCAATTAATTTGTTTACTCTTCATGTCATATAAGAGAAAACAGAAGAATAAATTATGCAACAATGAAAAGGTTTAAAATTAATGCAAACTTAACAATGAATAACAATGAATGACAATGAATTACAAAAGTTGTACTTACCATTTACATTCTTCAGTGTACTCTGGTGTCCTGGATTTGTTTTCAAAATCTTGTCACCCTAATGTAGGTAGAAGTTTAGAATTTACATCTCATCTCAACCTACAACGAACTGACCTGGAAGGAGCTCGAGGACTCTGTACTCTTTTCATTTTACCTTTAAGTTGGTGTGTGTCAGCTGATGTAGAAAGTGTTGAAGGTGCCAGTAAAACACTGGAAGCTGATGATGTCACAATCCTGGTGCCTGCTCCTCCTTGAAGAAGTGAAGACAACGTTGTCAGAGTCCCACCACCAGCAGTTCTTGATACAGCGCGTCCTCCTAGCAACTGCTTAGCTTGCAGTTGAAGTACAGTGGCTGTAGTGGGAGTCACCCCCCTACCAATGGACGTTGTTACTGCAGGTGTCAAACCCCGACTAGCCGGAGTGGATACGGTTGATGTCGAAGGTACAGACGCAGAAGTGTCAGAAGAGCTGAGTGCTGTATTAGAATTACCAGATGATACCAAGGTACCGTGGATTGTGAGGGAAGTGCTACGTGTCCTCTCCATGTGGTCTCTGCCTGCTTCACTTGCATTATGTACAGATGTAATGGGTGATATGGAAGCAGAGGTAGAGGATGGAGCAAGGCGTATTGGCCCAATTGGAGCCAAACTAGCGAGGGATCCAATATTCACTGTGATACCAGCTGCACTGCTTACCTGCAACATTAAAAACTTACTGATGGCAAACACAAACACAAAAAAGAAGATAACATAGTCTTCACCACCCACTAACCTTGTGCACATTCAAATGAGAACTGGATTCGACCCTGTAATTTTCTTTACATATCACATTCAATAACAATTCATATATCACATGCCAAGATCAAGCACAAGATAATTTTTTATCCCCCTTACCAATTTTAGTTAATGAGAAACAACATTTTTCAAGCCAGTATTTTAATAATATGCACATTTTAAGTGTGGTTTTGTAAGGTTAACCTTTTAACAATTTTGTTTACACTATTTGTGTACACAAACTTTCTTTTACAAATACTGCCATATTACACACACAAGACATCCCAACGTTGGTAACTATTTATATGGAGGTCACGCTCATACCAACATCAGAATGCTTTGCTATGAGGAATGATCTTTCAACAAGCAATCAGAAAAACAATTTCAATGCAGTTTCATATAGTATAGCATGTCAAAGCTACTATACAGTAGCTACAACACTGAAATTAGTTTTCTAATTTATTTTTCTGAATGTAAATTATCACAGATTGGGCAAGTATGCATTACATGAACAAATGTCCTATTACATATACTCTGTCTATTCTGTGTTGGGATCTGCAACACTCCTTACACAGGCACAGATAGTATCCCTTCACAGAACAGACAGCTTTAATCAACAGTATTTACTGTAATGTAAATGTCCTCATGCATAGCTTAAAATTATATTCTGAATGAATTTTAGCTGTCTGTTGAAAGTGTCTTAATGTTACTTCATTCTGGTTTTTGTCTACTTACTGGACTCGAGGAATTCAATCCATGGCGAATCTGACCCGCCCATTTAGACTCCTGTGATCCTGATAAGTTTACAGGATTCAGCAACATTTTCTGTGCAGATGTCATTCTAGATTTACGACGTGGAACTTGCACTGAAAAAGAAACTTATAATTTTCTCCAACTGTAAAATAAGTGCCACAGGTTCATCTACAATTCATAAAAATTACATGATTTTTGCACATGTACATTCATGAAGTACAAACTGTATTAGACATTATGATGCCTGCAGAGTTAAGGTTAAGGAATTTAACAAAAGAGGGATGATAAGCATAATTCACAACCAATGATGTGAGTTGGCATAACATCTCTTTTATCAATCCCTACCTGGGGCAACCAATGTACCCACCACTGATACTAGAGTTGGTAAGGTGGTTAGAGATTGCTTACTGGGTGTTACAGCAGCAGACGCAGCAGCAATAGCTGCAGATGCTGGTATTGTTGTGGAATTTCCATTAAGCGGAGTTCCTGGTAACAAACATTAAAGTGCAAAGTAATATCTGCTGGTAAATTAAAAACTTATTATGCAGTAAGGGCATATGCAGACACTGAAAGGAAAAAGAATACCAGAAATAGATAGCCTCTTGACATACCAAACACAATACAGAAAAAATTCTGTTACAAACTAAAATTTATTCCTTTACTGTAAGAGCTGTTTCAGCATTACAGACATTCAGTGCTAACTTGTCACAACCAACAACCAATTTATAAAATGGCATAAAATCATAATAACCAGATATGATCAAACATAACTTAACCAGAAGTGTGTGGATGAGGGTAACAACCATAAATGTTCTGGTAAATGCTTATGCTAATCAATGCCATATATAAAATAACATATATGTGAGATATGATAAAGTTGATTTCCATAAACATATAGTTAGCTGAGACAAAATACTGAGTGATATTAATGAAGAGTTACAAGAATTTTACTGAATTACTAACTGACAAGGTCAGATAATTGGTACAGGTGAACACAGGAACAAAGAAAAAGCATTCCAGATACAAGCTAGCCATTCAACTGCTTAAATGGAGTGATACACCACTTCCCAATCAAGTGGTATTAAGAAGGCTCAGAATTAAAATCACAGAAAAAATACTATCCATAATTTCAAAGCAAATGAAGCAATATTTTTAAGATTTTCCTCTATTTTGAGTTATGTGCATTGGTCCCCCATCCATTACCACACCACAACTGAGTTCATTGTATACAGAATTAGTACTAACCTGGACGAGACCTTTTGCCTGCAGGAGAGGATGGTTCATTGTCCAATGAAGTGGCAGAAAGCTGTTTGCCTTTACGTTCTACTTTTCCTGCTCCTCCCTGTCCTGCTGCTGGCACAGATTGAGCAGGCGTGAACATGTGGGAAGCTCTTGTTGGAGGCTGGTATGGGTGCATCAGAATACTACCCAAAAAGTCACCCACTTCATCCTGCAAATGAAAACATGTCTTCATGCTTCAAAATGAACAGTGTGTGTTTCATCTGTGTATGTTTGTGCCATAAGCCTTCATATTATTTACTTGCCACCGTGTCTGAACTACCCATGGGATCCACCCAGCCAGAGAAAGATCCCCCTAAATCACTGAATGAAAGGATTTATGGCCCACATTCAATCTGGATGTGATGGCAAAGAGAAAAATTCACACTTCCACTGTCAATAAAACATCAGTCATTAAGCAAGTATTAGTCACTTTTGTAATGGAGTTATTCTGGTTCACATCAATCAAGAATATAACATTTTGAAAAGTAATAAAATTACATAAAAAAAGTATCAACATTTGTTAAGTTTCAGAAAATCTCACTGTGCTTTAGCACATTAACAGCAGCAGAAGGTTAAACAATACCACAAGTGCTCAAAAGTATTTAATGATAGAGAGAAAGAACAATCTAAAGCTGAATACAATGAGAGGAGAAGAGGAGGACAGGAAGAAGTTTGCATATTACAGAGAAATGGTTTTCTTGTGTCCCTTTTACTTACAAGAATACATCGGTCAATCATGCTTTGAGTAACACCTTCCATTAGTTTCTTTGTTTTGCCAACTCTTAGTTGATCATCAGCTGATCCCACAACCACTAGTCCGGTCTCCACTCTCATACGTTCTCGAATATCCTCCACATCTTCCTGTCTGAAGTACATAACATAATAAAACTGATAGTAGGTAAAGTAAAAGAAAGAATTTAAAATAACTGGTGTACAGGGACACAAAAAGTATCCCTTTTGACACTCAAACTGCAAGTACGTCATCTTCACAGATCCTATAGGACAGATTTCCACTACTGCAAAACCAATGATTCATCAATAGTCTGTCACTGCACCTCAACCAGTTGACACCTTTACTCTAAGATCAATTTTCTGCATTACAGTCCAAACCACACTTAAGCACAGAACTAAAATTTATGAGAACACAACAGCACAAAAACAGAAGCATACTGAATACTTTCAAACAGTGCAAAAGGCACACAGAGATTGAGCAGACTGAGAGGCTGTGCTGTGCAAGAGCTGCTACTGGCTACAATTCGTGTGACTCTGCAAGCTTGTCCTTTACTGCATATTATTTCTTTGTCCGACATGGTAAACAATGGACTAAGCACACTACAATTTACTTCCACCAGCTAAACATGGCTTTCATCAATTTATGTTTGCCGGCTTTGTAATAACTCTCCACACTCCCTACCATTCATCAAGCAAAAAAACTTACGAGACAGCTACTTTAATCATGCAGCTGATGACAATGAACACAAAACTGGCTACACATAAGCTGGAATGCACAGTACTTTCCCTTCAACACTAATGTAAAATATAAAATGTGGGTAAATCCTTAAATAAAGAAACACTAAATGAAGGAAAATAATACACTAGTTACATAAAGCTTCAACTGAGACTGAAAATAAGGTCCACTAAATGTGGGAACTTATAATTGATGTTTCACTGTACTATCAAAAGAAAATATATAATTCTACCATCAGGACCTTTCGTTCAGAACTGCTCTCCTAATGTCAGATAACAAAAACATATAAAAAAAATCAACAATTTACATCCAAAATCATATCTGTTTGATCACTTAAAGCCTATGTAAGAATTTCAGTAAAATTTACAACACATACCGAGCCATGGAAGCATTCTGACCGACAACAAAGAGAACAGGACAATGCAGATCCAACAGCGTGTCATTTGGTTCCCCTCGTTTCCCTTCCACAGTAAATACGGGAAAACCAAGGCATACCACGGCTGTCACCTGATCCAACAAGGCAACCTAAAAATAGATTATACTTTACATAATTAAAATCCATAAATATTATAATAAAAGGAACCTACCTTTACACAAACATGAAGAACACATTTTAACCCTTTAACTCTTGCGGATGGAAAAATTCCACGCTGCAGAAAGGCAAGCTGTGCGCTGTGAATGAAACTGTGCATTCACTGAATAAATACACAGAATGCTGTAACACTTTTTTCATTAATGGAAATGTCAAGGCCTATGATTAAAATAAAATAAAAAAAACGGTAGAATAATAAAAGAACTTCAGAATTATTGCCACATGGAACAGAAAAACAATGTTTACTATGCAATCAAATATATGTATATATAAAAGAGTAATTAAATCAATTAGCGAAATATGCTAACAATTCCTCTTGCTTACTTGACATGCTATAGCAGCACCAGTATTCCATCCTATGAGAATAAGAGGTCTTCCTGGAAAATCAGCTTTCACTTCACTAATCTTTGATCTTGTAACTGCTATCATTTGATCAAGACAAATAGTCATTGTCATACGACTAGTACTAGGTCCTGTTGGCATAATCACTGTTATAACTTGGCCTAGTGTAGAGAGATGTGCAAACCATTGCTGTGCTCGAGTAGTCTGCATCAAACCGCTATTTCCACTGGAGGGAGCTATTATAAGGATGGGATTGCCAGGCAGTTTGCGCTGAAAACAAAACAAAATGCATATGCATCATGCAAACATCCCGAATACAACTCTGTAATAAATTTTACCAACAAGCAATTAACATGTTATATGAATGTTGTAGTTCAGTGTTACTGTAAAATACCATCCATATTTGTTGCAAGTCGGTTACAAAGCGTGACAGAACACTTCTGAGGGAAGCCTGCAATTTTATAATAATTTTCTTCTGTTAAAAACAACATACATAAACTTAGGTTCATGACCTGATGGGACATGGAGAAAACTGCATAATGATGATCTTAAAAATCTGTACTCCTCCCCCAATATTGTCAGGGTGATTAAGTCGAGAAGAATGAGATGGGCGGGGCATGTAGCGTGCATGGATGGGGCAAGGGGTGTGCACCGGGTATTGGTTGGGAAGCCTGAGGGGAAGAGACCGCTGGGGAGACCTAGACGTAGATGGGAGGATAATGTCAAGCGGGATCTATGGGAGATAGGAGTTGAAGGCAGCTAGATTTTGCTGGCCCAGGACAGAGACTGGTGGAGGGCTTTGTTTAATTCGGTGGTGAACCTTCGAGTTCGGTAAGCCATCTAGTTAGTTAGTTAAGGTTCATGACACAATGAATGGGGTCACACCAATGATTCACAATAGAGAAGCATGTATGGTGATGTGTTAAACACTTCACACAACCATCAAACTGAAGGAATGCTCCCTTACTAACACCTACAACTGTTTATTTAACATAATTAAAGCTGTGATATTTGAGGTTTTCATTGTGCTGTCTTCAGGATTATGATGCCATGTAGTCTTGTCTTGATATGAAGACAAATTTAAAACCATATTAAGATAGATATATTTTTTAAGTATCTTGGATGTCAAAAATAATATTTATAGCCTTGTTAAATGTATAACTGTGATATCACATGTGCAATGAAATAAGTGCATACCTACACCCACACATTTTACTTATATTAGAGTATCTCACTATACTAACTGGTTTATGTTGACTCAAACTGCCAGCCGCAGGATCCCACGGTCTCTTCAGTAAGTTGTTGAGGTTCTCAGCACTTGCTGGTCCTGTTTTGCTTGCCAAGGTTGAGACAGCAATCATTTTATCTACCAATGTTGGAACTTTGGCCTTCAAAGACTGAAACAAATGAATGCTATGACAAACATTCCTCTGAAACACTGAAGTTATTACAATTATTAAAACTGACCTACACAAATTAAATTTAGAATGTTTAGCATAGTTTAAAACTGGTATCTGGAAACTGACAGAGAAGAGGAAAGGATGCGAGAAAGAGTGGAATTGCATACCTTAAAAATAGTATTAAATCATTTGGAAATAAAAAATGGATAGGATATGGCTTATTCTTAATAAAGAGGTGGCTTACAAGAGAGTAATAAATTGTGATATACAGTACAATTAAGGATTATAGAAAAATACTTTATACAATTATATATAAACAGTAAAATAAAATCAGCAGTAAATAACTGGAAATATAGAAAGGGGAAGTTCATTTATAGCTATAAGAATATACATGGTAAACCAATAGAATAGCACCACTACAGATAGGTATAGTACAGCTACAGATCACAAAAAACTAGTGTTATGCAGACAGTATTCTGTACAGACAACTCAGTAAATGACTGACTGGCTGAATAGTTTTGAAGGAACAAAAGAATAAAAAAAATACATGTATCAAAGATATTTTCATGCATTCATACTTATTGTCTACATCTACTGAATGAAGTTTTGCCACATTTTATCTACAAAATAATAGTCACTGTAATGTTATCTGACATCTCATATAATATTAAAAGCATCCACTAATGACAATATTTTATGACATTTAGCAAATTTATAAATTAGTTACCATTCTGAGACATTTCATCATGTGGTCTGGAAGAAGTTTACTAACATTTCAGAGGTGCTTATGCCTCCATCATCAGGGCAATGATTTTGAAAACAGAATGCACCTCCAATACATCAGTAAACTTCTAGCAGACTACAATAATACTCACCTGAAGTACATCAAGATAGGCAGCAAGATACTGTCGACTAAGATTCTCGATCAGAGTTGCATGAAGCCACTGGGTAAGCCGTATATCCCAGCCCACACTTGCAAACATTTGACGTACTCTGCGAACCGTCTTGTCTACGGCAATACGGCGAAGCACTGGCTCATTCCAATTTCCTGCTTGAGCTAATCTGGCCAAACGATCCGCTTGCAATAATCTTACCATCTTGTTAAATAAACGGTTTTGAACAGGAGTCCAATTAACACTGAAACATGATTAAAGCAAATGGTACTTTAACCATTTTTGTGATCTGTAATTAGAGGGTTTAAAAAATAATAATAAAAGTAACAGAACTGCCTTTACATACGAGGTCTGACAATTATACTTTCAAGCTGACCTGACATGCCAGCACAAGCTGTATTAAATAAGGTTAAAAAAACACTGCAATCAATACATTTTACATTCATTTACCATTATCAGTATATCAAAAACACATAAGACAGACAAAAGTTCAAGTTTATATATCTCAAGGCTGAAAGGAAAAGTTTTGTCTATACTATTACATTTATAAAGCAAATGAATTCAATAATACACATTTAAGTAGTTATGGCAACTACAGCTATGATAGGATATCATCATTACATACCGTGATACACGTTCTTCCCATTCATCAGCATCACCATCTTCTTCACGTCTTACAAAATTTACATGTGTTTCACACTCTTGCATTAGAGGTCGAACTTTGTTCATATCGTATGGTGGAACTGGTATCGCTACATCGCCATCCACATCAACTTCCTCTTCAATTCTAAAATAAAGATAACTGTGTTTATTATAGTTTAGGCATATGGTTTTCAGTCATATTGTGACTAATGGGATGAACACATTTATCTTCAATCAAACATAGAAATGAAGATGGCAACCATTAAGTACTAATAAATGTGAATTTGATATCAACAATAATGTGCCAATGCATCCTTTGAAGAGATGTTAAAAGGTGAATTTCACTTACACATATCTGTCTGCTGTAAAGGCCATGATATGCATTACATATCAAGCAGAAACCAATGAGATGGCAAGCCAATTGCACTTTTTCTCACAGATATTTCATATGTTATCATATATGAGTTCATCAAATGAAACCAATTTGGAATTGTTTTGGGTAATAAAGCAAAGCCCATTAAAAAGTCCCCAACAGTGCAAAGGGAGGTATTCCATTGATGTACCAGCCAACAGCTTCACTACACAAAAAAATCCTGAAAACCCAAATCTATGGCTCTTTAGCTAAGGCATTCAATAACAGACAAAAATCTTGATGAATGAATGGTTAAATTATCAATACATATATTATACATTAACACAAAAAAGAAACATCCTAACATGCTAACAAGGGTAGTCATTATGCTTCAAGTCAATTCTTATCATCATGTGGAATGCACTATCCAGAGCACATTTTGCTCCATGTGCCAGAAGGCATCTGACCATCCCCATACAGCATGGACCTATAACAATGTGACTTCCATTAGTTCAGTTCTTCCCCGAAGAAAATGATAAAGGCCACAGACTTCAGCCAGATAAAGACCTTCAGGGTATGGTAGTGCAGTTGTTCCAGCAGTAGACAAAGGAGTTCTTTGCAGAAGGGACCCATCACCTGGTATGTCAGTGGGATGCCTGGCTCAGAACCGAAGGGGACTATTTTTAATGGTCTCTACTCATTTGCCCAGAACAAACATTTGCCATGACAAAAATCATCATAAAACCAAAAAACTGTATATAGGGTCAGGAAAATACAATTGCATGAATATCAGAATTTCAAACTTTGGCTGTTCTTAATGTTATACAATCAAAAACGTTAAGAACTGTGTTCTACTATGCCTTCAACTATAGCATTAACTTACAAAGAAAGAGTTGGTTGTGTCCAAGCTGCAGTAGGCTGAACAAAAAGTGTCTTTGTCGGTTTTGCATATGTATTTTCTGGCCGCCAATTCCAAGGTTTGGAATATGAATGGTCCATCAGGACAACATTTAATTCTCGTTCCTGCAGATATACAAGGAAATATAAACTTAGGTGATGAATTTCCATTAATTAATAACAATATTTTTTATTTAAAATTCCTGTTACTCACTGACTGGCCAGCTAACTGATGCAAGTAATTGCTTAGCTTCGTACAACTGTCCTCACCATTGTCACTCACGGGGCTTGGTAAATTTGATGAGTTTGGAGTTCCACTCATACGACCAGCTATTGAGGACGCTGGTGAAGGGATCTGAAGATATCACATTAAAAACTGTATGACTTTAAGAATAATATAGAGAACATTTCCTATTATAAAATTAAAAAACCAATATATTTTAAATATACTGCATTTTGAATTTCAAGAAAGAAACCAATATACTGTTACAACATAGTGGTACATTACACAAAAAGTATAAAAATCAGAGAAAATCGTAAGAATTTTCATACTAATTACCTTAGTTGCTGGTAAGTCACAATAGAATGAAAACTTATGGTTTAGTTGCAATCAGATCAGCTGCTAAGAAATGTCACATATTTACATTATTTTGATAATCCTGTCTGACGATAGAGATGTGCTATGGAATGATATATATAGACACACACACACACACACACAGGTAGCCCTCGGTTTACGCCGGGGATGTGTTCTGATGGATATAACAACAGTTTTTATATTGGTGAGACTCAACTCACTGCCTCTACTTCAAATTTACAATGAACACCATATACTGTTTCTTTGTATAAATACGTATAAGTTCCTATTTTGCTTATATGGATGATAATACTTCTAATAAAATATAATTTGCATTAACCATGTTTTTTGTCATCTGGGTTCCTGCTTCCCCCAAATACCATGGATAATTGGTGCTCTAAAGTAATGAAGTTCAATTCTTAAGAAGAAGGAGGGGGAAACTGTAAGGAAAACAACTGGATGAAGCGAAAGTAACTAAACATTAACCTTTACACACTTACCAGTATGCAAATAACTGCACAGATTATATTCTTGTTTGAAATTCCTACTTATATAACACTAATACAAACTGTTCACATTAACTAATCTAATATATAGTGTTGGCCATCAGCATTTTTAAAACTGAAGAGAATGCAATAAACTGATTGTTAATACACTTACTGTTATTGATGGCATTGAAGTACTGCCAGGTGTTGTGGACAGTAACAGTTTCATTAAACTGTCTTTTCCTTTTTGTGTTTCTGACATATTGTATCTGCATATATATTTATTTCTGTACTCCAGAATACACCTTCAAATATAAACAACTAAAGGTCAGCAGCATATTAATATCAAAACCGTGCAGCAAAAACTGCATCCTATAAATTAAAACATACGAACTGAACAATACCTCTAGAGAACAGCTTAATCAGCAACAGCAAATGCCTACACAAAAGATCCGGTTTCACACTGTTTAACAACAGCCATTTTAAGAAATAAACACTACAACATGGACTTCTCTACCACCAAATAAGCGACACGAACGAATATCCACAACACAAACTTACTTTACGCCATTACTCTAACATTGATAACAGTTATACCAACATGCTTTGGAATTACTTGTGCTTTAGAGGATACAGCCGTACGGTCAAATATGTTTTTCCTGTAAACGCGCTAAAACAAACTGTTTCGCGGTATCCAAACCGAATGGTCATTGTGTGCCTAAATAATTTATACACTTCTCACAGCTGTGTGCATGAAGATGATTGTCTGGGTTGAAACACCGTGTTATCTGGTAGACGCTTAAATCATTTTTAGTTACTTGCTGCGTCCGTTCGATGGTAAGCTACGCCCGAGTCCAAGTCCCTTTACTATCAACAGTCAGCCATTCCGACTTATGACCACATTTTAAATAAAGGGGCCGTCTGTCACAGCATAAGTCGTCGTGTGGCATCTTCTCTGACAAGAAAGGTGTCCTATATCGTGTTACCCACATATTAATCCATAATTCTAAAAAATTAGATTACGCAAATCTCTCAGTGACATTGTCATGACTTTCCCCATTTGTCTGCTATGGTACAATTGCGCGCAAAATGAGTGCAGCCAACACAAGAAGCTTTAAAATAAATCATTGCAGAAACTTTGACTTACCTCCGTATAATTTGTAGCAGTGTTTAATTCTTGTCTTCACACCAAATTACATATTCCTGACTCAAGTGGTACGTTAGTAATTGCTGTCAAAATATGTGTTATCAATTATATTTACTTTGTAATTTATACAGCATAAGACATGCACCCTCAGACACTTGATACAGTATGTCAAAGAGCCTAGATACATCAAATATATAAATATTTAACCACAAATTGCAATTATAATAAAACACTACATTCTATTTATTTATAATTTAAAAGTTGGCAAGAAATTATTTACAAAATTCACATACCACCCTATTTTCAATGTCCTTAACAGCAATATAAATACAGATATTACCCAAAGCCTAAAACTTTAAAAAAAATGCAACTACAGCAGGTTTCAGATTTTCTGAATAAACAGAATCTCCATTCATTAAAAGTTCTCTCTATGCACAAAATGAGAACTACGAGAATGACACACCAACCTGAGTGGGGCTTCTGTTACTTCTGGCATAAGGTGTTTACATGGTAACAGTGTCAAAGTTATCAAGTACTTGTGTTTCTAGACCATTTATCTCTTCATTACCTGCAGACACTGATATGCAACTCATGCAAGACTTCTGTACCTTCCACATTTTCCCCAACTGAGGGTAGGGTGAATGAGCTAACTTGCACCAAACAATTTCTTACTACTTTTAGAAGTTAGATTCTTCCTGCCAGTCACACCTTTGGTTGACATTTTCTTTTGTAATGGGTTTACTTAAAGTAGACATTATAGTTGGTGAAGATGCATGAAATGAACCATAAGCACAATGTTGTCCAACACTTATTGGGGGTTCACTACACATATAACCATCTCTAGATGCCAACTTCTTGACTGGTACTCCATTCTTGTGGGTTGGAGGATATTGAATGCAGACATTCAATTCCATGAAGTCATTCTCAATGTACACCTGAACACACAAACTGAATATAAATTGAACTGAAGTAGCCACACATTTAATTACACAATTATGTTGTAGTGTTGATTGTTCACAGTATATTCAATATAAATATTGGTAATCAGCTTTACTACCATATTTGGGCAATTTGTCATTATATTGACATATATTTTAATTACAAATATTAGTAGCAACAGTCATGAATGAACCTTTGAATTTAACTATGTATACTGACTGGGGTGGCCAAAGTTAGTATGCTGTATCAAAACATTCCCTTATGGTGATACATATCAAAGTTGAAAAATAAAATAACTATTAATTTCTTATTCTACAAAGTTAATATGTTGTGAACAGGGTATTTTTGGTTGCAACACCACACAATCTTGTAGGTGCTTACCAGTGTTTAAGAGGAATGGTGGTAACCACTTACAAGACTACAGGACATCACAACCCAGACCAAAGTTAACATCTTCACTGCCATGAGAACCTCAAGTTTGCTCAAGATGACAAATGATTCACTGTATCTAAAATGATAAAGCTCTGCATACTGTACCTTTACAGCTCCCTTCCAGAAATTAGGGTAACTAGTTCGTAATGTGTCAATACAGGTGCACATTACAGTAAGCTCTACACCATCAGATGTAGGAATGAATCCAGCACTTGGGTTGACACTCAGAGTAAAACCTGGAGGATGCTCCAAAACAACTGCTTCAAATGGATGTTTGTGTACACCACTAGTCCGCAAGAGTACAGCCACACTTGATAAATGTGGTGGTTGTAATGTTACAGTAGATGGGTAAATATTCCATTCATCCATTCCAGACTCATTAAAGTCCTCTTGCCTTTTAGACAAATAATTACATACATGTTAGAAAATATGCATATCTTCATCTCCTAATAGAAGAGTATTCTACTATATTCTAATTCTGGAACAAATTAACACAGGTGTCCCAAACAGATGTATACACAACAGCAACTTTGATGGCTGCTTGTCAGTCAGTTGCTCACTGCTGTCAACCGTGAAATGAAGCTAATGGTAGTCATTCTGAACACCTACACCAGATTTTCTAATTCACTAAGTGCCAACATTGACATATGTAATGGTTTAATTTATTAAAATGTCTTTATTTCATTTTATGTATACAGTGAAACCTCTATCCATCGTTCCCGGAACTATCGTTTTCCCGGATGCATCGTCCGTTTTGTTCGGTCCCGAATACATCCCATATAAAATAATGTTACATTTTCCCGCTTCTATCGTTCCTCGAACTATCGTTTTATCGCATCGATCCTTAAAAAATCTTAGTCCCAGCACACAATTTTCCCGCAATGATCGTTTCTGAGAAATTAAAATGCTGGGTTTTGAGATAAATTAATACTGAAAGATGCACAATGTTTTTGGAATACACAGTAGCGATAACCTGTTATGTCGCCCAACCAGCACA